CTCAGCACCCACCTGACCAAATTCGATCAACTTTTTTTTATTTTAATTGTAGAAAGTCGTAGAATTCAAAGATAAAAGTTGATCGAATTTGGACAGGTATGTGCCGAGATATCTTCGATCAAAGTTAAAAAAAAATTAAAAAAATTAAAGTGATCTACAAGGGTGTGGAAATATCAATTCCCTATAATTTATATATATTATATTTATATAATAGATTTGACCAATTTGATCAGTAAATTTTTGGTTGACCACTAATTTGCCCAATACTGAATGTTATCTCTGGAATAAATTAAATAGCCAGCTAATAATCCAACGCTCACAACTATTAATCCTATAGCTATTCCAATGTACAGAGTGTTCAAGATAGTTTTGGGAGGGAATGTTACGTTTGAATCTGGTGTACGTGGAGTACATAAGGAAACCCATTTATATGAATTGTTTGAAATGTTGAGGATGTTTATTGCTGAAGAATAATTTTCACATAGGATCAAATTTTAGTACAAGAGACCCACTAATAAAATTGATTATCAATTGATTAAATAACCACATGGTATTTAGTATACCAAGAGATACCAATGGTATTAATTGTATCAATGGTATCAATGGTATCAATGGTATCAATGGTATTAATTGTATCAATGGTATCAATGGTATCAATGGTATTAATTGTATCAATGGTATCAAGCAGAATGTCATAAAGTTATATTTGTGCAAATAACCCCAGCAAAATCTCTTACAAATCATTAGTGCTTACCAAATGTAAAAAATACATAATCATTATAAAGAGCAGCCGTATGGAAGCTCGGTGAAATTATTGGCATATCATCAGGATCTCCAGAAGGTGTAGTATTAGTCCATACATAAGTGGTAAGATCCAAAATTGCAATGCTGCCTATTGGGACAGAGTTATATGATTGGCCTCCGTACATTATTATACTTCGATTATTAGTTGTAAGAGTAGCTGTATGACCCCATCGAGAAAAAACAGATCCAGATATAGTTGCACTCTATTAAGAAATTTATTTTAGAATGGTATTTATAAAAAATAAATATATCTGAAAAAAATGTACGTACCTTCTGCGACCATTGATCTGCAATTGTGTCATAAATATCGAGCTTTAAAAAATTTTTACTATTAATATTTTAATTAGGATTAATTGCAATCCTTAATCTATTTTTTTTACCTGTGCTACATCAAGGTTATTCACTCCACCTATAAAAATAATTTTCCCATCGGGTATCAGTGTCGCTGTATGTTGCTTACGTCCGTTTGGTTGAGTCGCTAAAGGAATGGGTTCCCAAGAATATTTTAAAAAATCAAATTTATACATTGGATCACCAAGTGTATTTTACCCTGAAAGTTATATATATATATAGTTATTAGTAAGGTTAACACCAAAACCATTAAAAGTATTGTAGAAATATGAATTGACTTTGATGTTCTCTTAAAACTATTTTCAGTCAACTCTATAACAAACTGAATAAAAAATTTTCGAAAATTTCTCATAGAATGATTTACTATAATAATTTTTTTTTAAAAAAAATTTATTATAGAGTAGGTCCATTATAAAAGATTAGTTAGTTGTATGTATCAAGTATATATATAACCAATTCGAAAAATGCACTCATTAAAAAAAAATAAATAAATAAATTAATTTTTTTTTTATCTGGCTAATTTCAATCTAATATTCTCATAAATTATTTAAAAATAAACTCAGAAAAATATAGAAAACTTGAAAGAATAAGATTTTTAACATTGCAATACGATATACAACTTTTAATAAGGCCATGCAAAATTAATTAATTGGTTTTCATAACCCGGCCGAGTCAAAATTTGAAAATTTCAAAAAAAAATTTTTTATATGTTTTACAGCTGTTCTCATAAATTTTGGGACATCTGGTAAAAAATTGACCGAATG